AGATGGCTCCAAGAATTCTTCCCCGGACAGTTATTAAATTGACCTACCTAAGGCTGGCCTTACATTAGCAATACGTTTCCGCAATATCTTTCCTCAATTTGTTTCTGCTTCTTGCGGTCATCTTTACATTAGCAAGAGCAAGGAGGGGCAATATATTGCCAGAAAGATCTGAGCAAAATCTTTCCGGCAAGATATTGCCGATCGGTTTTACATTAGGACTATTTGTTGCCGTGTTTCGTGACGGCGCGAGGAAAATGGCGCATGAAATTAAGCGAGGTTATACCTCACTCACTTCCCGACATAACCAGTGGAAGGCAGAAGATACTTACAGTCGCACTTATTGTGCTAAATGAGGAGATGAAATAACGCCAACGATTTGTTAGGACGTGTGACTGAATTTTAAGAAGGAAGGAAAAGGGGGCTTGTGCGAATTAGGTAGAAGTGTTTAAATACTTTTCATAAAACAAAATGATTTCGTGGACTTCGATTCTCGTGAGAGCAAAGTAATTTTCTTTTGATAAAATGTGCACTTACTAATTCGGTAAAAAGTTTTAAAATATCAATTTCCTACAACTGATGTACTATAGAGTAATCTTAAAATTTATTTAAATTAGATTTATATCTTAATTTTTAACGTAAAAAATCAATAATCAGGGGCATCTATGGCTGAATAAAAATTTGAACATTTGATAATCAACCATAGAGTGAATATTTATTACTACTTTTATTGTCGTAAACCTTTTTCACACGCTCAATTGTATATTAAAATGGAAATTTTACGTAATACGTACTCCCGTACGTATTTCCTGCGCAAGTGACCGCGGTCATTGGCTTCTTCCAGCAATATCTTGCTCATACTTCAATCCAATTCTAGTCCCAGCAACAACCGGCAATATCTTTCCGAGGGTGGAAACACACGGGTTTACATTACGACCGGAATATCTAGCAAGAAATATTGCCAACATCAGAAATATTTATTGCCGTAATGTTTACATTGGCAACTTTTCTTGCGAAATAATATTGCTCGCCATTTTCTTGCAAGTGTAAAGCCAGCTTAAGAGACGAGATTTCAGGAAAGGGGAGTAATTAATTTGCTGCAAATGTGATGAATACATATATTTAAGAGAAATTCGCCGAGAATGCTCACTGATCGACCATAGGATTGAAATGCTAGGATTTCAGTAACTTGCTCCTCATTATTTGGAGGTGTACGGAAGAGAGTTAATTTAACTCTGATTTCCTGAATAACGGTAATTTGACTTATTATTACAAATACAAAAATATTACAAATTATGTACTACATTAGCTTTCAAAATGCCGCAGGGAAAGGAATATTAATTTCAGAACGTTGGATTTATGCGCCATAATAAAATTATTCTGCAATCCGCATAAATTACAACTACGTCATATTAATTTTAACCTAACGCATTTTATTGACCAGGAATGAAGTTCCAGTGATTACAATATGTGAATTGCATTCATAGATTCCGTATATTTTCACCTGATTTTACCAAACCTCATCTTTGAAAAGAAACGGCCCAAACAGGTATTCAGTTTGCTGTAGCAATTCGGAGGATTATTACATAAGTTCATATGTAGTTCACTTAATCAGTTATCTGTAATATTTATCTTTGTTTATACAAACACGTTCATTCCACTGATGAAAACTTGTTGTGAAGAGTGTATACTTATTTTTCCCGTGTAAAATATATTTCATTAACTTATCTTCCCTTCGCCTTGTGTCCGTCGTTTCCTTCTAGAGTTCGCCCAGCGCGCCCACTGTATCGGCACAGCGTGGACGCGGGCGGGGCGGGCGGCGGGGCCATTCGTCGTGGGTTTGAAGAAGGTTAAAATGAAGCCACTCCGCCGGCCGCTTAAGCAGCCACCCTGCCTTTGATGCGCCCGCGGCACGGGAGGAAGGAGGGAATTGCGAGTTCTTTCTAAATAAATCCCGCCCCGCGCGTCTTTAATTCCGAGCCGCGCGCGCGCTCCCTTCTCCTCGCGGTGGCGGCGTCCCAGGGGCGATGGGGGCGGTGGTGGTGGCGCGTGACCAAGTCGGGGCGGGGCGAAACCTGTTCCGTAAGCGGGAGGAGAGATCCTGCCTTCACTGGGGAGGGGGCGATAATAAACGGACTTCCGAGACACACCCTTCATTGTGGGTCGTATGGAACGCCAGTAGGGTCGCGTTCTCAATCAGTTCTTTTCAAATCGATTAATTTCTATACATTATAGTTTTTTTAGTTTGGAATTCTTTGCAAAACTCTTGAATGTTCATGGTATCAAACTTGTGTCATTTACACATGTTGTTAAATGTATAGCTAACTCATTTGGTAGTCGTACAATCCGTAATGTAAGATTTATACTTATATATACAATACGGAGTTGCAGGGAATTTCGCACTAAAATGTATACTTTCAGTATTCTTACTATCACAGGAAATGTTATCTTGATAACGTATCTTCAATTTAAACCCGACTTTATCATATATCTTCTTGCACATTATTATATTAAAAAGGACAAACAATGTTATCTGCTCTCGTGCATTGCTTCTCTTTGCTGACCAGGTACTTGTTGCTCAAGACTCCAAGAACTCGCCCTTTGATTCTGTCCGTGCCTTTGGAACCAAATGAACGTTGCAACTGCCACGTCCTGTAAAGGCACCCGAAGAAGCCATTCACGCGCTGCACCTTCTAAGAAGTATTTATAGCGAGCTCTGCAGGCTTTGCGCTCGCCGCCTCCGTTTCCTTGAGGGCTCCGCAATGCCGCGGGTCTTCAAGGAAGACTTTTCCGGCGGCGCTAGCGAACGTTGACACGGAGGAAACGGTGAATGGAAGGACCCTTTTGCCCTTTCGTGAAGCCAAGTTTCTGCTGCTAATGCCACTGGAGTCCCTTTTGAACCGAATGAGGGGCAGAACTTAATATTATGTTGGATGGAAAGTGGCTTTGAAATGAAATATTGTGGAGAAGAAATATGGCATATGAAGATTCAAAGTGTTCAAAATTAGGTACATTATTGGTTACTAAGAACAGTTACATATGACATGTAGAATTTTAATAGACTGTAATGGTTATCGATCACTTTTATCGAAAAAATGATGAAAGAACCCACTACGATTTGAAGTAAAAAAATTTCTTAATTTTTTTGTCAGAAATCTTTGGACATAATAAATTGCTAACCTTCCTCCTGCGAGAGGATGGTACAAATCATTGAATCTATTCGAAATGTGAAATTAGAAAAATGAATTTTCGGCAGCTTTCCAGGGTCCTCCCGATACCCCTCTCTCTCATTTCTTTCACTCCGTTTATCAACCATTCCTCGTAATCCGTCAACGGGAGAGTCAGATTTGATTGCGTGGCATATTTAGGCCTACGATTGTGGTATATCATTCTTGCATGAACTCCCCATGTACCACGAAAATAATAACACCTAAAACGGGGATAATATATACAAATTTCATCTTTATTATTTCATGTTTTGTTTACTTTTAAATTGGTCATTACTTAAAATATAGCAGATTTTGATAAGTGCTTACTCATAAAAACGGCAAGATTCATCACTCATAGTGCAAGTAACGAAATAATAATAAATTAATGTACTTTATTACGGATATATTCTACGTAAAACATAGATATATTTTTACCTGATTAATTAAGACGGCGAAAATAATTGTATAAGCGTATTTGAAAATAAAATATTTAGCACAATGCGAATACGAAGTGGATAAGGTGGTTCTCTTAAGAGAAGAAGCAATATAATCAAATAATTATATCGCATGTGGAGATTTTTGTCAACAGTCGTAATAAAATTCAAAATGGCTTTAGAAGGAATATTTCAGATCAAAGAATGGCAAAACACTTCCACTATTAAACGTATTAACGTTCAATTTTTCAAATAAATAGACAATTTTACGGTTATTTCCTAATTTGAAAGTCTTGGTCATGTCGTCATGCAAAGTCATTAAACAATAACGTACGCTTAGTACCTTAAAGAAAAAAAGGATGGGTCTCTCAAACTAATAATTCAAAAATTACTCTTGGAATGTGGATAAGTGAAGATGAAAACTTGTCAATAATGGGAGCGCCAGCCATGGTGTTCTCCGTTCTCGACCGAGAATTGCTTATTTGCAGGAGAATGAAAGGAGAATGCGGAAAATGGTCTTTATTTCTTTAAGAGCAGAGCATGATAAGGAAATACAGTTTGAAACCCGCAGGGTAAAAAATGGTGGGTAGCTTGAAAATTTTCCAAAAAAAGAACAAAGAGTCTCACTACATAAAGACTCTATAATCAATTATTCAATGTTTTGATATATAAAATACATGAAAATAGAGAACAAATGGTCAAGTGAAGAAAATAGAACAATAACAGTTCAATGTAAGGCAATGCATTAGAATTAAATATGCAAAAACTCTGAGGAAATACGAACGCGAGAAAAAGATGTTATGTAACAAAAACTTAAGCAATGATACAAAACGTTCAGAAAGATGTAATTTCAAAGGGCATCGCAATAGGGAAATATTTTATTTTAAATTTTTAAGAAGAAAAAACGAAATAAATTTAGAAGTACATGCTTGACTAGATAACGGGTATTTTTTCACTGTTTCTTACTTCGTTTAAGACACCTGAAACTTACAGACGGAAATACCGATGTTGTAGGTCAAAGCAAGAGGTTATATATTTAGAGAAGGTTGAACTCCCCAAACATTAGTCAGATAATTGAGCAGAAAGTTTAGTAAGAGATTCGAGACTAGGAAGAAAAGATGACACTCTTAAGAGGAAAACGCGAGAAAGATTAAGGAAAGAAGAAGAGGAACCGACACCACGGAAAGTAGATAGAAGATTTAACTAAGAAAATGTGTAAAACCTTGCAAAGGAATGCAGGAAGGCAGTGACGAAACGGGCGATGTGAGTCGAGCCATATGGAAAGGGGTCGGGAGCGCGAGTGGGTCAGGGAGGAGGCGGGGCGAGGTGGGGCGGGGCGGGGCGAAATCGGAGGCGCCACTTACCCGTCGTCCTTGCCGCGGGGGGCTTGTGCAGCTGCGGGGGCGGGTGCTGCGGGGGGCGGCATGCTGTACAGCACGAGGGCGGCCGCGCCGGGTCCGCCTCCGCCGCCGCGCCGGGGAGTAGCCGGGCGCCCGAGGCGCGAGACGGGTACGCCGGGGTACCCGGACCCCAAGGCACGCCTCCGGGGCCCGCGCGGGTAAGCACGGCAGGCCTCAGCCGCGGGCAGCCGCTGGCACGCCGCGCGCGCCGGCCGCGGCGCCCGCGCGCCCGGCCCGCCGCCGCACGAGTACGCGCCCGTCGGGTAGGGCGTGTAGCTATTGGCCGGGTACTCGGGCTGCACGCCCGCGGGCATGCCGTAGCCGGGGTGCGGGCTCATTGGGGTGTACCCTGCAACACATCGCACGTGGAAAAGACTAAAGAAGTACTCAACATACCTTAAACAGATCATATCCCTTTAGCTCTTGGTGCGACGTTTTTTATATGAATACGATAAACAACTTATCATTGCTATCGCATAGTCTACAGTTATATTCAAAACATATTTATATCTTAGACGAGTTAAAGGTTATATGATTAATAAAATATTATTTACGAAAGGAAGGGACAGGTGTCACAAGAAAAATCATCAAAACTCACACCTCAAGTGAAGTTATTTGATAATTGAATTAAATGTTGGATTTTTTCACAAAATACATATTTATTATTTATTTTATCTTGATATAACGTTATTATTATTATTTATATTACTATTATTGGTAAGAATGGTGTTCTTTACTATTTATAATATGTTGATTTATTTAATGTTTTGCCACACGATGTAAACCAATAAGTGAGACATAAGAGAGAGAGAGAGAGAGAGAGAGAGAGAGAGAGAGTGAAAGAGAGTGAAAGAGAGTGAAAGAGAGTGAAAGAGAGTGAAAGAGAGTGAAAGAGAGTGAGAGAGTGAAAGAGAGTGAGAGAGTGAAAGAGAGTGAGAGAGTGAAAGAGAGAGAATTACCTACTAACGTACTTAATAATAAGGCGAGAGACACTCATCATGTAATTAATATTAAGGATGGGATCTCTAATTCAACAACGACGACATTGTATTTCAAGTAAACGGACGTGTCATTAATCAGTTGGAAGTGTGACTCTCGGAACTGTGTCAGAGAAAAATGTGCTTAGTTCATTTCGTTCGTTTGAACGTATCGTTTGAAAGCTTATTTCAAACAAAATAACTGTCAATCACCGGAATATCAGCCTCCGTCTTTGTTAGGTACTGTTCGTCGAGTGAACAGACACGAATTATGTTCTATAAATAACGTACACATATGTGGTTTTCTATCTGGTAGCAATGAATTGAATTTGTGGAGAAGAATACTGCTTTGCGCTCGTAATCCAGCCTTCCATAAATTGTACGGGGAATTGAGCCCTTGCGTAATAGTTCATTCTCTTCCTACACCGAGCCTCGCAATGAGCTCTACAGCCCTCCCCCTCCCTTCCTCCAAGCCTACGTCACCCCACTCCTCACTCCAGCCCCGCGCCGGGCACCGTAGCGTAAGCGGACGCCCGAAGCCCGCTTCGAGTTTCTTTCCCCCACCACCGGAGCGCGCCAGCGCTCGTGATAATGAAGGCGGCTTGTTCTTCTGCTGCAATTAGTCACAAATAACCAGTAAGCTTTCAATTAAGTCGGGGATTAATACTAATTATCCGAACCAAACCTTTCCCTACCTTTCCGCCGCCATCAAGAGGCGCGCCCGCCCACACTGAAAGCGACTATCGTTCCCGAAACAGCCGCCCGACAGCCCCAAACACACGGGGCGCACCTGGCGCCGCGCCGCGCAGCGGGAATTAAAGGCGCTTCGGAATTAACTGCTTGTCGAGGGCGTCCACGCTCCCAATGGCAAAGGTTACAATGAAACCTTCAGCAAGGTGCATTGCTTCCGAGGAAATCGCGTAGTGTTGCAAGACTTTTCGGCTTTCTGCTTTATCACACGGTGCAATCAATGTGTACGAGTGTCATCGACTCAATTCTCATTGGTTCATTGTAGTATACGTTGCTCTAAGAACTGAACTACTATAAGACTTGGGCTGAAGGAAGAAACGAAACATTTGAAGAGTCAAAGTGATCTCTTATTACTTTTCCTTTAACAATATATTGAATTTAGAAATATAAAAATAAGTTATTTATGTATTAATAAAACAGCACGTTTGCACTGCACGGTTTATTACCAATGTTCTTTAATAGAATATAAGCAACTTGTCTTGCTCTTTTGAATTTTGCTTTACAAACCTATTATTCTTTGAAATATAGTATTACTAATGGTAATTGCAATTATAATTTAACTTCTGGCCAAAGGTAATAACTTAATAAGTAATTTTGGCGCTTGTTGATTCAATAACTTGTCAAATATGCTTGGTCATGGGCAAATTCATTGTAAAATCACGCCATTTAAAAAATTCACGATTTTGTGACGAAGCTCATTATATATTGATCTTAATTTACGTTTAAACTCTTGAAAATGTAATGTTTTTATGTCATTATTGTGATCATGTATCACGTAGTAAATAGTAACAAATATTATTTTGTGCTGAAATTCTTCATGTAGTGATTATCGAAACTTGTATTGCGATTCAATGGAAACGAAACAAGATACTTAAGGCAACAACGAAAGATTGCAGACACACTGCCAAGTGTCTCAGAGGCCCCAAAGTACTTCTGCGGCCCTCTTCCTTAAAAAGCATACTTGAAGGCATTTGCAGGCTGCTCAAGTAGCGCTCACAATAACCAACATCCAGGTCGATTCGCTTGCTCTGGTAGAGTGGGACGCACGGATTCAGAGGCACAATGCAAAAATCTTGGCGGTTTGCTGGGGCGCGGGGCGGGGCGGGAGGCTGTGCATTCTCCTAATTAAGCGTCGGCTCGCGACCGCTGCGCCGCCCCCGCCCCCGCCGCCTCCAATCCTTTCCGCCCCGCGGCGCCGCGAGTGCCGCGCGCGCTCTCGCGGCCGCCCGAGTAATTACCTCTTGAGCCCCTCCCCGCCCGCAACCCGCGGCCACTCCAGCCCCGCCGCCTAAATAAATAAATTAAATACAACCCTCCAGGTTACAATGACGCCGCGACGGCGGAGCAGAGTTCTGCGATAAGAAGGAAGAAATGATCGTCGTTAAAGCTGCAGCTACAGGCGACGGTGGGATTGGTGATAGCGGGCGGAGAAAACCTCGCAACGGAAGAATGCAGCAGTGGAGACGGCAGGTTGTTGTTGGAAGACGGCGGGATTGCTAGTGATCGAGATGTTGGTGGAGTCGAGAGTGTTGGAGATGGAGAGGACGACAATGTGGCTGTGGGAGATGGAGATAGGGGTGATGGAGATGTAACGGTGGGCAATCATGGTGATGGCAACGACCAGGATCGCAGTGCCGGTGGAGATTGGCGGTGACGGGGTGGAGGTGGCGGCTGTGCCGGTGGCGATGGCGGTAGCTGTGGCGAATGAGGTAGAGGCGGGGGAGGTGTGTTCAGTCGTTACGTTCGCTCCAGCGACTGCGGCGATGCGGGATGCCAGACGCGTGCTGTGGTCGGGGGGTAGAGAGGAAGGGAAAAAGTCGGCCGTCGGGAGCATAGAGATCCACATAGGGGTGTCACGAAGGGGTGAGGATGTCGAAAAGGGTTACGAGATGAGTCAGAAGTTGTAAGGATAAATGGAGAAAACCAAGGGCATAGAAGGAACAGAGCATGTAGAATAAAGACATCAATGCAAAGGAAGCAAATATTTAAAGCAAGAAAGAGCAATATAAGGAAAAAAACTATAACTGGGAAAAGGAAAAATATCAGCATGCAAAAAAGGAACAGGACTGGAAGACATAGTGTATAAAAGTAAAAAGGAATCATGTGAACGCAGGAAAAAATAAGGGAGTGATGCAAAGGATAAAAAGGAATTTTTAAGAAGCAAGATGAGAAAATAGTAACAGAAATAAATGTTACAAAATATGGATGGGACTGTGTTGAATAATAACTTTTCGATGAGGTAATGATGGTCCGTAGTAAAACTAAGACGATACGGTAGTTTTAAGTTTTTAAATTCAGTGGAATATTAAAAAATATCAAAAATGTATTCTTAAAGTTCCATATACTTCAAGCGATGAATATGATTCTGAACTTTTAAAGAACGGAACGACAATTTGTCGCTCGGGTCGGTCGGGCATATCATTGTGACGCGCCGTCCCTATAAACAAAGCGAGCATGTAACAATACAGCAATATCCCGTACAACATCGAGAGACACATAAAACGCCACGAGAGACAGCACTGGCAACCATCGCCACGTCGCGCCGCCCCGTATCGTCCCGAACGACCCAGGCAAGTCAGCGGCGCGTGCAGATCTCTCTGCCAGACGCTCTCGCCCTGGATTCCGGGAGGCTGTGGGGCTCCTTGGCGAGTGACGGACGCCGGCGCGGCGGCCCGCCTCGCCGCCATTACCTCCCCGCCGTCCGCCGTAACTCCCTAAAACGGCGCGACTTCTCGAGGGGAGGTCTCGAAGCGCGTAAATTCCCGCTTGGAAGAGGGCAGAGGGCGAAGGGCGAAGGGCACGGAGGGTGAGAAGGGCGGTAGAGGAGGGGCCGCGGAAAGGGTCCTGATGACGAGCCATCGCCAGCGATTGGAGCAGGTAGGAGAGTCGCCAGGTCAGCACTTCCACTGGGATCCGGATCTATTGGAATGGCTGGGAGTAAATCACGGCAATGCGTTGGCATTCGTTCTCCTGGGGATTTGGACATTTCTATAACAGTAATGAACTGAACGCGCGATAAACTAATATCATTAAAACCATAATTAATATTCTTTACTGTAGCAATTCAAATAAATAAATATTAATATTCATTGGTATTGGTGTCTCAATATGAAGATTCAAAGAAAATGCACGAAGTCATTAAAAAATAATTAGGAAAGGAATAAAAATATTGAAACTACAAACCAGAAATGTTTAGTTTGTTATGTTACCATTATTTCTATTACATAAAACTCATTGTTCTTTCTGAATAATTTGTACAGTTCTTCACGCAAAGATGAAAAAACATTCTACCACTTCCGAAGTTTCCAGTTATAGGGTAATTCACTTACACGATGATACAATAGCTCTTTCCCCACATAACGTTCCAGAGTGTGAGCTCGATTTGGGCTGAGAAAGAAAAAACCGCCTCAGGACCGCCCGCGCCAACGACGCCCCGCGCGCCCCCGCCCACCCCGCCGCCCTTGGCTGCGGGCGCCTCCTGGCTCCGCGGCGGAAGGGCGCCGCATCTATATTGTAACAGACAGCAAGGTCATCCAATCAGGCGGGGCCGCGGCGGTGGTTAATGTTGGTTACCATCGAACGCAGCAGCCGGTGGCCAGGAAGGGCGACCGGGGGGGGCGGG